AAAACTCAGATGTTATGGTCAGTCTAAGAGGATTTTCATGGTAAAACATACACCAGATTCACAAATCACAGGGAAGTAGGAAAGAAACAGAGTAAGTAGCAAAAGGGTGGCAGGGGTTTGCTCACCTCGGCCATCGTACCTCGTAGGTCGTCAGCCTGTCTGGCCTGACAGCGAGGCTGTGGCTGCAGCTTAGGAGAGCATCCTCGATGGCATCACAGCAAGATATAGTCAGCATTTGAAGCTGTGATGCTCATGCCAGGACCCAGGATATAGTTAAAGTAAATTTGCAGAGGAAATCGCTTGTATATATGAGCCCAGTCACTACTTTTATAGTCGATATGTATTATCCATAATTTGCTTTGTATTCTCAGACCTCAGTACTTGTTACTCAAAATCATGAATAAAATTTATGCAATAAAACAACAGCAAAGAGCAGGTTAAAATCAACAGGTGCATAGCACTTCAACAAACAAGCTAATGCTAAACTAGACAACAAAACTTGTACACAACAATTTTGTTTCGAATTTTCATCCTTCCAGCACATACAATATTTTGGAAACATCATGCATTTTAGCACATACAATTTTGCCATTCAGCTACCAGAGGCAAATGCCTACAGATTCTGTAGTGTACTTCTAAACCAATTGCACATATTTTTTTTATTGCAAATAGATTTTAGGTCGGCCGACCTCCTTGGGCGGCGGCCGACACTAGGATGCATTGACTTGGTGCATCTACGGCTGAGGGAGCTCCCTGGAGTCGGTGGGAAGGAGCCTGAGTCGGTTTGGGGAGGCCCACACGTCGGCCGACATGGGTTGGGGTCGCCCGACGCCCCCTAGCTCATCTGCTATCCATCTTGAGTCGGTTTGGCGCTCCACGGTTCACATTGTCTTGGGTACAAAGTTTGGTCACGTTTGGAGTTCGTTTCCTTTGGTTAGTGGGCCCATGGATCCACGGGAGAGGCGACATGGACACCATCTCCACTGTTGATGTGAACCGTCATTGAGTCGACGTGTTGGATGCCTCCGGAGTGTGTTTCTGGCTGGTGGAGCGGATTGGTGACGTGGCCAAGACCCGTTTGGGTCACCCAACCTTGGGTTGGCATCATCCGGGCCTCCATTTGGTCCTATGGGGTGAACAAGGCTTCCCTTGGGTTCTCCATTGAGTGTAGAGGCTATGGACCAAGTTTGGGGGCATTTGGATACAAGTCTAGGTCGGCCGACCAGGGATCAGGTCGCCTGATGTCCAACTGTGTCCAACTCCAGCCTGGCCGACCCATCTTGAGATCTTCCGGAAGGTATAACTTTGTCGTCCAGACTCCGATTTAGGTGAACCAAAACTCGATTTCGTGTATCTCGATGAGCTATTCGACATGGTGCAGTCAAAATGAGCATTTGATGAAGTGTTTTGTCATCTATGTAGGCACCTTTCTCCTACAGTCACATAGTCATCATAACTTATGGAAATGGTTAGAAGTAAGCCATATGACTATAGTTTATGTCATTTATATCACCAATTTGGGCATGGTTGATGGTATAAAATGAGGTGAACAATGCCCGGGGTGTGATGCTTCAGGACAAGGAACTCCCCGAAGCCCACAAAGTGGGGGACACCGGGCCCACTTAGTAGCCCCTCCAGGCAGAAGGAGTAGTCTGGCGTGTCAAAGAAGCCAGGAGAAGGCTCACCTAGGGAAGGCGTCGCTCCGACAGACAACACCTGGCGATCAGCACCAGGCTACAGCAGGGGCATCAGGGAGTGGTTGTAGTTTTGTCGGCCCCCAGCTACAAGACAAAGGATGACCGGCGACGCCACGAAGAAGAAGACCGAAGCCCAAGGCGAGAAGCCCTAGGTTGAAAACCATTCACTTTGTACCCAATGCCCACCTCGGTATATAATGGGAGGCATTGGCTCCTATAGAGGGGATTGGATCTACAAAACTTATAATAGGGCCTGGACTTCGTGTTTATATTTCCCGTGAGAAAGCATATGGCTAAGATAGTTGAAGAATAGAATTTATTTTGAACTAAATTCTCAAGCAATTGCAGGACCTTAGTCGGGGGTTATACGACTATGGCGCACATTGCCTATAGAAGATAACTTAATAAAGGAGTAACGGCGTAGCTAGTGGGAGAGTGAGTGAAAGGAATCATATATGTAATTTCTATTTGTAAGCACAACCTTGTTATAAACTATAGTAGACTTAGATAACCAAGAGCTAGAGAGATACACAAACACTTCTAGACACAACCGGCTAGCTAACCCAGGAGGGATTAACTAGACAAATTGCCATAAGCTCTACGATTTAAGAACTAGACCTATCATGGTGAAATACAGAGGATGGATAGGGCTGTCACCACCTGCCACCTACCACTAACTATCCAAAGGCCTAGTCGTATCCATAGACAAGTGCTCACTACTTCAATCCGAGCTTGGATGAAATAAGATCAAAGCACCTTAACCATACGGTGGAGCCCGTGCAAGGTATCAACTCTAATAGTATATCCAGCTATTCTAACAAACTTAGAACAAAGCTTCCGAGCACACTTGGCTAAACAAGTAAATTTGAATGAAGTACTTGAGCAAAGTAGGAGTATATTCCAAATAAGGTAAGTGTACAAATAAAGAAAGGTACAAAAGAGAAAATGTACAAAGGAGTTAAAGCAGACACAAAAGACTCTTCCGGACTCCGAGCAGAGCTCCATCTAACTCTATTCCCTTGCTTCTGATAGTGATGCCTTCTCCATAGCTCAACACCCCTTTTATATAGTGTGTAGGGAGTATGGGGGTACTTGTAGGGGTGACTGAGAGGTCGGTGGAGGAGTGGTGGGGTCAGGCAATGGCTAGGGCGTCGTCCAACCCTTGATCTCCACCACCTCTCCATCCAATGGTGAAGGGAAGCTTCTAGAGGCAGTTACATGTGTTCTAAGGCGGTTGGTTGGTCGGTGGAGTCTTTTAATGGCTGACGGTGGGCCTTCCAATCCAAGTGAAGTCCATCCGAGGCCTTTGGATCCAATCAATACCAGATCAATGGCTAGGGGAGCTCCTGGGTGTGGAGAGGGGGTGTCGGGCGACCAGGTGGGTCCAGACCACCACGTCCACTTGTCTTCCTTCTTTGAATTTGATGAATTTTCACCAAAATGTCCTACATTCAAATATTTTTCCAGGTATAAGTGGAACTAGGTCATTTATAAAAGTAAATTGCTACTTGTGATGTGATTTACCTTCACTTTGGTGGAATGTTTCATATATATTCCCTCCAGGCATTTATTCTGAAAGAAACACAACCAATGACAAAAGATAAAGGTGAGGTTATAGCTACATTTGCAGCTGGGCTATCGGAACACAAAAATATCGACATTAATCAATAAGAGATACATAATAGACAAATGGGATACAACGAAATTGCTTAGCTCACTCTCAAAACTTGTTTTTCTCACAGAAGACTCACAAACATTGAGTGAGAGTTTAAGGCATAAGCATCATTCATGATATTGCACTTGGAACAGGAAAACAAACATTAAAAACACTTGGATGGAATCAACTAGTGACTGGATAGAAAGAATATCTAGTCTAGACCTAGAAAGAGAACAGTGGGATATTTGCTAGGTGGTTGGGTCTCACAGATCACTACTACTTAATTCAGGCAGTTCCAAAGAAAAAGATGAATCTTTGCTAGGTTATACACTCACCACCATTCTTAGTAATTCAGCCCCTCTGTTGCTACCTTCTGTGACTATCGGTATCATAGACAAATATTTTTCCCATAACATCTCTTATTCTTTCCTTGACATGTTTCACCATGTTGGTTCCAGTGCACCAGGGAACCGTATACACAGCATTGCTGCCTACACCACCAGCAATCTCGACAAAGAAGAGAAACAGATAAGTAGATGGGAGAGGAAAAAGCGACACCGCGCAGCTACATCGCCAACTAAATAGACCATGGGTTGTTGATGGTTAAAGGACTCAATGATTTGTTCTTTGTTATGTTCCCTAATAGGTAAGTGAAAGATTACAAGTCTATCACCGTTTACATTTCCAAAGTGTGCATGCAGGGTGCGGGGTGATATCACCATTTATTCATGGTGCATGTGTACAGAAGAAGAATATCACCATTATTTGAGTTTGCAGCAAATGGTTAAGAGTCAATAATCCAATCCCACACAAATAGCAAAAAAAAAATGATTGTACCTGTTACAATGCAGTAGTTTGGATATTTCGTCCATGCCCCACAAAATTGCAAAATATTTTCATGACTAACACCCCTGTAGAGAAAATATCTAGAATTAGTTGGAACAAAATGGAACTGATTCATTCAGTTAGAATAAGTACTTCCTGCAGGAACTCAACTTCTGAAGGATTGCTGAGATATTTAGAACTGAGACACTTTAAAGCAACATCATGGCCTTTATAAGTTCCTCGATATCTGTGAACGACAACATCAATGATAAGCATTGGACAGTAAACTATTGTATGACATTGTCTATGGAAGCAAAACATAGGTTAATACAGATGGCAAGTTATCAGCTGGCTTAATGACAATCTACTAATTAAAAATCGTTTATTTCATTTTCAGCAGATGGCAAGCAGCATCCATAGATATTTATAGAGAGAATAGGCTGGCACAAAAGGAAGGTTAGGACTGAAGTGGCAAAGTGGGCACCACATTTCAGAATTAAAATAAGTGAATTTTAAGGTCATGATATTACTGGGAACATTGACACATCAAAGTAGTGCTTACAAGTCTGCAGACGATCCAGATGCGATCTTGTCCCCCCTTGTTAGCATGCTTAAGTCAATTTCATAATCTCTAACCTTTTGTTGTAGGTCAATTATTTTCTCTGATGTTGAAGAATTTGTTGAATTAGATTTGATGCCTGCGTATTCAATGGAGATAATTAAACTCTTTAGAAAAAAATGTTAACAATGAAATGCTGGTTAACGCCGCATTTGCTGTGACCAATGACATAAGACAAGGGTGAAGATGGCTTATTCATGACTTAATCCTTAATCATAAATATGTCAAAAATAGTAGTGTGTCGTACAATTTTTTTTTGTGTTAATGTCTCCTTAATTGCCACGATCAGCTCATCAGTTTCCTGCATGAATAATTGCAGAATGATTGCCATTTTCCGGACAAGCCTTGCTTAGTTGCATAGTACAAGAGAATGTAACTACAGATTAGATTTTTTTTTCAGATAAAGGATATAAAACTACAGATTAGATGGTTACTCTGTCTATTAAAAATATAAGTTGGTATTAACTGATTTACATCGACACATTACTTTAAATAATTTTGGGCCCATATAGTCAAATTTCAGATACAGAATAGAGATGATAGCTTCAAAAGTCCACAGCAGTAAGCATATATGCACGCTTAAATTTACCTCTGTCTTCCAGCCATCAACAGCAAAAACGTCCAAACAAAAACCATCCTTTGTGGAGTAAACATTAGCTTCCTGGATATTCAGTCCGACCTCAGAGAGCAACGCTGTCAGCTGTTGAACAATCATTCGCAGTGAGAAACTTTGAATCAAATATGATGAGCAGGCTATATGAAAATGGTGAGTACGTGAACTGATAAGGTACTTGGCATTACCCGACTTAGGAGCTTGGGCTTGTCAATGAAAGAGAAAATGATCTCATGAAGAAAGACAGTTTTTAAATCGCCTCTATACAAAACTGAGTAACAAATTTTAACGAGAAGTCACGAATTTTAATGGAAAGGAATGAAAGGAAGGAAGGAACGCAGCACTTTCTGAGTGAATCCAGTTATTACTAGACAAGAAGAAGAAGAGATAGACATGGAATCATTTCTGTCCACAGCCTTTCTTCTTTCCAAACTGAGGTCCTCCAACAACATTTGACACAGCTCATGATCTTGATTATGGCCAATGCCGTCGTCCTCCGTGGGAACTGTCTTATACTGCTCATCAATCAAGGCAAGCAGAGCATTAGCAACACGACACAATCAATCATCCTCTTTTTTTTGTTTGCCGCTTCGGAATAAACCCGTTGCCACACCACATCAATACTCTCTGTTTTTTTTCTCAACTTTATTTTTTCAGAATGAAAAGAGTTGCTCTCTGTTTTTTTTTTCAATTTATTTTTTCACAATGAAAAGAGTGGACCATGAGGAATCGCGCGCGGAAGACGGGTCGTTTGTTGGGGTCGGCGCACTCGTCGAGGATCCTCCAGTGCAGCACGACATCTTCCACCTTGCCGTCGATGTCCAGGTCGAGGAGGTACCTCCGCGGCAACCTCTCGATGTGGCGGGCGAAGCGGGCGTTGAAGGTGGGGTATGCGAGCGTACGGTCGTGCCGCCCCGTCTGGCGGAGGCGCCCGCAGATCTTCCTCTGCACCTCGTGGCGGTCGGGGTCCGACGCATGTGGCGACCGAGGAGGTGGGGAGCTCTCGCCGGTGCCCTCCTCCCAGTCCTCCCCAACACGCGGCGGCCGTGCAGGCGGAGCCATCTGAGTATTTTGAACCTCTTGTTGCGGTGGCGGGTGCGGCAGGCGGAGGATGCGTGCGTGCGTGCGTGCGTCGAGCTGGCCGGCCGGTTCGGGGCAACCCTAGGCTAGTTGTGCCGAGCCCAGGGCTTCGCAGGGGGAGGAGCATTGGGGAGGGGAATAAGGCGGCTGCACGGGAGAGAGTTGGGACGAAAAAATAAAGGCGTACGGCAATGAGTCGACGAGGAAAATTTTCCAAGAAGTAGGGACCTTCCTACGTACTCTTGGGAGATGGTTGAGAGAGCAGATTTGAGGGCCTCTCCAAAGTTGGGATTCAAGTTGTGATCGTGTTGAGATAAGCTTTTCTTTTTTTACTCTTGTCACAAAAAATAAATTAAGGGGCTTATTTAGGTCTCTTTTACGTTAAATTCATTAGGAAAAAACAATTTCCAAATGCTTAAAATCTGACACTTCGGACGCTCATGGCACCAAAAGAAAATGCTTTGGAGTAAAGCAAACAAGCCTTTAATGTGTGCACACATGTTGAGTCAGGGCTCCTCCCCGGCTCTGGCTCCTCCGAAGGAGTCCTGCCACACGTTTTCTTGGAGGAACTGTTTTTCAGTAAAAAACAGAGGTGGCTCCTCCAAATTAGCTCCGGCTTCTCTGAAGGACACCCTTGGGAGGAGCCGTGCCAAACACCCCTATGTTTGGCCATATGAAGCCTAACCACCTTAGTTGCTCTTAGTTTGCAAATGAGAATTTTTCATGTCAGTGGTTTATGAGATTATCCTACATGGTCACTCAGGTCCTAGTATTCTCAAAATGTATTTTTATTACACTAAATTTGTAAATATATGATATCACATATTCGAATCTTCAGAACTCGTCATGCTAACTGATTGATGATGTAACCTCAGACACGTGGGCCTTATATGTAAATTTCAATAGCAGTCCTTGAATTTGTCCCGCATTATTATCCAGGTCGTGTATTTTCAAAATGCATCAGTGATACTCTTAAACTGACTAATTATACCACATCAGGTATAAATACTTGATTGAAAAAAAAGACATCATTACTTAACCGCAAACATCAAATGTGGCATGGGAAGTTGACAAATGCATTATCAGAGTCATCATTCAAAATGCTTTATTTATTTTATAAAACAACGTTTTCACAAATTTCAGTGTTGTAAAAAGGAATCCGATGGAACAAGGGACGACGGAGTACAATAGACGTGCACCATGACTCATGTGTGATTGTTGTTTATTAAACAAAAGTTGAGTGACAACGTTGTTTTGTGTAGGGTGCATCCACGTACAAATAATGTATACACACCACGCGTACACACAGTTGGCCACTCAGCCCATTCGAATAGAGCTAGGCTAAGCGCTTTGCGATCCTATGTATAAATATAATGCTAACTCTGACTATTTCTAAGTATATAATGTAAGCATAGCCATGTAAATAAGAATATAGTAGGTAAGTATTGAAGTCTCATAGGATATGAAAGTACACATACAATGTCTTACCAAGCCTCCAAGACTAGATCTGGAATCTGGACATGAGTCCACTTGACCCTAACTTTCAAGATACTAATCTACTACATTGGATAGTCTAGACCTAATCCTCCTAGTGTGTCTTGATATTGATCTCTTATGGATCTCTAGAGATTGAAGATGGCCTTCTGGAGGAGGTAGGGGTTCCTTTTATAGGGGACATCAGGCATCCTGTGGGTCCATGAATCCATGGTATCGCTCCATCTAGGCTCTCGATTCGAACCGACTTTGATCCATAGTGTAGATTGATACTAAGAGGCGATGGGGAACTGACATTCAAAACGGAGGCTGAGCAGTGGACCTAGTAGGCCGGCCAGCCTACAGGTGTGGTCGGTTAGCCCCACCCAAGCCCCGTTCAACTTAATCTTCGGTGGGTTGTCTTGAGTGGTGGATGTGAGGCCCTGGAAATCAGTTTCGTCGCGGATGATCGTGATTTGCTCTGACTATATGGTCTACATGGTCTGTTTTCTGGACAAATCCTCCTGTATTTACAGATTCAACCAAACTTGTGGAATTCATTAGTTTAAACCCCTATACCTATGTTTGGTGATGGAATTAAGTATATATGTAGGATATGTTGACAGTTTATGATGAGTGTTAACTACCATTAACAATGGTTTCTTCTCTATTCAATTCATTTTTATTTCAAATAATTTTTTGTATATGTATTCTACACTGTTACTGTATGTCCATACACATAAGTTCCCATTCGAGCATACGTGTATATATATAGCAAAATTATATATACACACACAAAATGTATGAAACTATACATAAACTATACATATATTTCAAAGTAGTGTTGGCCGACCCCCCTCTTCCCTCCAAACTTTACAAGTTTTGGTGAAAATGATTTTCTCAAGTTTTTATTTGGAAAGGGAAAAGGTTTGTCGAAAAATTAAACATGAAAATTGAAAATGAAAATGCAATTTATCACGACCCAAAGTCATTTCAAATGAAACTTTTCTCGAGAACCTCCTTGATGACTTTGCACGGTCCCTCTTAACCAAAGAATCACCTCATCATCTTCTTCAAAAGGCCCCAAAAATTCACTAATCAATCTCATCGATTCTCCTAAGAAACCTAAGTCAACTAGGAGCTAACCCTAGTCAACCTATATATAATTGACTTTGGGAGATACTCTGAGATAGATGCTAATCAACCTTCCTAATCCCTCAAAAGGTGACTATCAACTCCAACAGCAAGATTGATGACCCAATGCCAAACCTCTTTCTCTAAATCAAATTCTCCAAATTCAGTGTTCTAGTCGAACATTCCACTATCTCTGCGGATAGTCACTACCACAATCCCGAATTGCCTTGAGTGCCAAAAACCGCCAAGGAAAGGGCTTAAACCGCCAAGAAAATGATCTTTGGCCACAAACCGTCAAGCAAATTCACTCAAGGAGATAAGGAAAATTAATTTCCTTGGCGGTTTCGGCACTCAAGGATGATTTCCTTGAAGGTTGGCCGCCAAGAAAATTAAGACTATATTTTAATTTGCCAAAGGGCCAAGAAAACGTTACAACCGCCAAGGAAAGTAGTTTTCTTGAGGGTCGACAGCTGTCAAGTAAATTAGTTTTCTTGAAGGTCAGCAACCTCCAAGGACACACTTAGACCGCCAAGGTAATTGTTGTTTCCTTGCTTGCCTTTCACCTCCAAGGAAATTATAGTTTTCCTTGACTATAATGTATAGTCCAACTTCATTAATATGATTTGAAAATTTCACTACTACAGATTGATCTATCACTGTTGCCACTTTCACTACCGTAGTGATAGAAGCGACCGTGTGATACTTCTACCATCGGTTGGAACAATAGCGAGGCCTCCTGTGAATCAAACCGGTAGTTCAGACTTCTACCACCAACGGATTAACATTAGATGCGGCAGTGATATTGGGGTTGTATTTGCTCCATCGCATGAAAAGTCGGACCGACTGGGATACGCATTTTGTCCGCCGGCCCAAAACTAGCATTTGGTCAAGCGGCGGTAAATTCAGCGTGAGTGTTGAATTGCCTCAACTTCTAATGCCGTCAAATCACCGTTACTTTCGCCGCCTGAAGTCTAAGAACCATACCCACTGCTCTACATACTACTTCAAGCCCGGTGTCCTATGAAATCACCTCTCTTCTTCATTCATCATCCGCTTCTCTTCCAATCTACAAAGAAAATGTCGAATAGCCCCATCAGGTTTTCAAGCAGTCTGTCATCTAGTGAGGATGACTTGCCAACCCACCAGCCCTCTGAGGAGGACGTCTCCTCCGATGACTGGAGGTCTTCTGATTATAGTCCTCCGTGGAGCTCCGAGAAGGAGGACCCGGAGGTGGACGAGGACAAGGATGACGCCGACGCTGAAGACAATGACTCTGACTCTGACTCTGACTTCGCCTCGCCTCCTCCCAGGCGAGCGAGGCGAGCGAGAGGATTATATGTTTAGATTAAGTAGTTTATAGTTAGTATAAGTAGTTTTAATAGTTTAGGTTAGTTATTATGCTTCCAAATTGTATCTATATGTTACATATACATAATGAATCAATGAAAAAAGTTCTATTCGCGCAGATTTGATCTCTTCAATGCCACCTTTTTTATATGAAATGAAAGCAAGTTCTTTTCAATACTACTTCCAAAATGCCAGTGCACAGATTTAATCTCTCGATGAATGTTTTTTTGTTTTTTAGTATATTTGTGAATGAAAAGGGAAAAACTATCATGTACGGTTGTGGTTGTTTCTAGGAGAATCTAAAAGTAGTTTAACCGCTGACAATCGCCGTATTATAGCGTTGGATTAGCGTGGCAATGGTCAGCTTAATACGGACACTGTTTAACTTAACCCGTGTCATCGGTGATAATAGGACCTAGCCACCGGTGATGGTACTGTGCATTCACCGCCGCTTAGTTACAAAATTTTCAATCCTGCCTTTGAACCCTCCCACGTGGAACTGATGAAAGTTCAATTCCTGCATGACGTAAATGTTACGCAGAGAGCAAGTAACCTAGTCCAACATCCCCCCTAACCCCCCCGCACCCTCCCCACCCCACCACCGCCCTCCCTCCCCCCACACACATAGCTTTTCTTTTCCTCATTGTTGTTGTTTGTCATCATCGCTCCTGCTCATCAGCACTGCTCAGCCCTTGCTCCATGCCAGTGTACATCGCCGGATTGCCCGCACAGATCCACTAGCGAAAGAGCTACTGTTGTCATTGGCGTTTCCACTCATGCTCACCGCCGCTAGATCCAAAGGCAAGTGTAATAAGGCCTTACTTGCATCATCGTCCCTTCTCCTCGAAACTCATCATCTTACTAATGTTTATTGATGCAATTCCATGGTAGGTAGCCTCATCTCTTCGACTGGTGGTGTCCTTCTAGATGGAGGCCCCCAACATGAGGAACGTAGTGGACAGCCTCTCAGACGATGTGCTTGATGACATCTTCCGCTACCTTCCCGCCCGGTCCTTGTGTGCTGCAAG